ACATAAGGGCAGTACATTACAAATTTTAAAAATAAATACGAATTAATTTACCACCATCAAATTAACACTGTTCAAATGCCGTCCAGACACCATCTCTTAATAGCTTCTTAACCGTAAGGCCATCATGGAAAAAAGATTTAGAAGTGTGGGAAGTTGCCAGTCAGAGAACATGACGACAAAAACTGCAACTAGGTATATTATGATAGCTCGTAATACCTGCCACTTGTTTTCTAACATTATTGCAAGAGCAAAAATGAAGGCCAGGATCGTCGTTGCTGTCGAAATGATGAGGGCCAATATGGCAAACAACAATCGAAGGGGCAGGGCTCTGCGACGACCTCTTCTTTTGTAAGGTAACGTGAGTACACTCAGGAATCCGGCCAATGAAGTTGATGCAGTAATTAAGGCCACTGCACCACATATTAGGAAGACGGATAACTGTTTTGTGTGCAATAATCTGGGCTTACCGGTCTTTTCATCGAACCCGCCAGGAACCGTATAGAGTGCTGCAACCATAACGGTAACAATTAAAACAGATGCCAGACTATAAGACTTTGCAGTTTTCTTTCCCCATTCCTCCATATTTGTTACCAATTCCTGGTGTTCCCTGTAGAAAACTTGGTCTGGAGTCTCCCCATAACGATTTTCTTCTTCATGATACCAGAATGGAAGGTAACTCCTAATCTCCTGCAAATTCATAACAGTATTAGCATTAAAATTTTAAGTGAAAAGGCCAAAAAAAAAAAAAAAAAAAAAAAAAAGAAAAGGAAGAACAGAAAACATCAAATCTTTTCCAAAAAAACAAATTATTTGATTACTACTGAGGCACAGATATCTCTCCAAATTAAACTTACAAACTTACGACTCCACCAAGAGATTTCATAATCCTAGCTAGCTACTTGTCTCAAATTATTATTTCTTTCTTTCTAATCTTATACTGTAAAATAAAATGATGTAAGAAATATAGAATATACCGCTTGTTAATTAGAGGAAAAAAATATGAAAAGTTTATTGACTTACCTCAAACCATCCTTCTTCGTGTGTCATGATCCAAGCTGCACGGATACCGACAGGTTCATGATGACGGTCAGGTAACTTGGCTGCTAGATGCAACGCATTGTTTCCATCTTTATCTCTAAAAGAGAGAAGTGCTTTCTTCCCTGGATCAATCCTGGTAACAAAACTTGAAAGACGACCTTCATGATATTTGATTACAAGGAAGAGTAAATCTCTTGAAAGCTTTTCATTGCACCAAATTAAACCGGAGTTTGCTTTAAGAATCTCAATCACAATCTCGTATGTGCCTCGCTTGATTGCTTGGAAGATCCCTGAGATTGCTCCACTTTCAACAAGTTGTGTCGCATCCCTGTAGGTTGATATCTCCTCGCACCGACGAAACAGAACCAAATAGGCAAAATTATGGGTTAATTTCAGATTATATAAGCGCCTCAGTTTACCTACACCCAAGTCAAGACAGAATGAGGAGAAATTACAAAGAATAATAGTAAAGAAAGGTTTAATTAAAGACGTTACATACCAGATCTATGCAATGGAAAGAAAAAGAGTCCCAATATTCTATCCATTACTTTAACTCATGCTACTGCAATATCAAACAGAAACACCATTCATGTTGGCTTAATATATATTTATGGAATAACTAATCCGGCCCATTCAGTAAACAAAGAGCAAATTGACTGCCATTTGAATCAATATATATATATATATATACGTAACAAAAACTTACATTGTCTTCTGAAGATTACAAGTCTACGATTTCTTACAGCTTTGTCAGAGGGACACGACAGCTCTCCGACGCAGAGACCTTCAAAAACAACGAATGAAATTGATTTTATGTAAGTAAATTTTTTAGGTAAAAAAGGACCAAAAAGCAGAAAAGAAACTTCAATTTCTTATAATTTTGTCCCAAGTCTCAACTCTTGAGAAGATATATCGACAGAGAATGAGTAATTTATGACAAAAAAAAAAAAAAAGAAGTTCACAAAGCACCGTGTCCGTAATTGCGATCGCACGGTGCTTGTATAAACAGTATTTTCTAGCCCTGATAACGAACAGTATTTTTCTAGCTGTTTGGTGAAGGTTCTGCAAAATCAGAGCAGTTTCCTACTTATAAGACTGAAGTCTCAATGCTGGTTTCTTTTCTCTAAGTTATATATAGTACTTTTATTAATCAGAAAATTAGTGTCCTTAGCTATATATTACAATTTACAAATCCATGTATATATGGGAAATTATACCTAGACTAAATGCACTCTATTTTTGTACTTTGCATAAATTAATTTATCTTCCTCCATAAATTAATAGTATTTGTATATTTGTCTTCCTCGATACTTGCATAAATTAATTTAGATATATAATATGAAAGCTAAAGGAAAAATTAAGGAAGTAAAACTTACATAGATACAATAGAATATCCGACAGCGAGAAATTCGGTGCTGCTCCACTGAAGAATAGAGAAGGCTGACGAGACAATTCTAAAATAGTAATGGATTCTTTATTAGCTGCGAAGCGTGGACAACCAAGGTACACTTCCAAACCAACATCTGTTATCAACATGTACGAAACAAAATATCAAAGCCAGGACTATACAATATTTAGAAGGAACTTGACAAAATTTAAGAAATATATATTTTAAAGATATTATTATTTTTTCACAAATTTAAAATTTTATTAGGGGGAAATTTAAAAAATCTTTTAAAGTTTTAAGTAAATTAAAGTATTTGGCTTTTCAAAATTTACTTAAAATTCATTTTTAAAAGATAATTTTTTAACATCTCTCAAACAAAATTTTAAATTTTTGACACAAGAATAATACCTTTAAAACAAGTGTTTTTTAAACCTTGTTAATTACTCTCTTAACCTAAAATTTATAGGGTGAGAATTAACATGAATTGGAGCTTAGAATAAGAAAGACTAGCCACCAACTCTTACCAAGCATAAAATTGAGTGCACAATATTTGAG